AATATATGCTCCAGACGATCTCAGATCGTCTGGTGGCCGTCTGGAGACGATCTAAATTTGGAAAAGGTATTCCTTCACATAAGTTTCCGAGACTTTTTACATATTTCTTCCGCAAATAATTTTCTGTGCACACAGTTCAATTTTGGTGTCATACGATTCTGTGTGCGCTGTAAACAAGCAATTTGTTTATTTTGGCCTTGCTTTCAAATCGCGCGCACTTTTCGTCGTACACGATAGAGCATGTCAATCGTGTGGCAACCTCTCCAAAATGCTTGTGTTCGACTAAATGGCGCTTATTCTTTGTGCTGGGCCCCTACTCGTCAAAAACGAAATCCCCTTTGCTGTTTGCTTTAAAAACGAAGTCCAGCCTGCTTCCAGACGATCCGTGCCGGGCCCTGGTCTACACTGATCTCTACTTCATAATCTACTTACCTGTGTGCATGTTGTTCATATGTTAATGTTGCTCATATACTTTTGGTGCTACTTATCTCATTGGTGCTGTAACAGATAAAATATATTAGTACGAATCGGTGTTTCTGCCAGTTTGCCAGCCGTTTGCGAGGCGCCACGCTTACTGGTAGCAGTAGCAGCGAGTCCGCCGAGAGGAGAATAGGTGAGTGCTAAAATCATAAATAAACCTGATGGGCCTCCACCGGTGACTTGGCAGCTCGCCGTCTGAGAACAGTTTATTGTGATCGTTTTTAAATATTTCAATGGCTTCCAGTCTTTTCGGTGACCTAGGGCCCAGGTCTCACGATATTTTAACATCATTTTTGAAAGAAAAAGTGGTAAAACACAATTTTCTTTTCTCAGACATAATTTGCAGTTTCCAGCAGTTTTAGGCTGAGTTAGTGCGCACACGATGGTGGACGTTCACTGGAAAATAGAACGCCAAGAAAGTTTTGGAGGCAGCGTTTAAATTGAAGTTTGTGAGTGTTAAGAGATGTTCTCCCGGCCGGCTGAGTTGACCTACAATACCGCTCACATTTTTTGAAAAATAGACGCAAATGTGCATATATGTCGCTACATGTCCATACATGTAGCGACATGTCGCATGAGTGATGCTCACGTCGCTACATGTATGGACATCACCGTCGCGTGGCCATATCTCGCTTCAGAGTGGACGAAGTCTGAATCTAAAGCCACCATTCGATTCAGTTCGGCGCGGAGAATCTTCTGATATATTGGAAGTGGGGGTACGATGTCTTCTATATTCCGTTTACAGTTTTTTCGAATTTTTCTGCGGAGGTCCTTTCGCGAATATGTGAAGCAGCGCCTATCCAACATAGAAGACTTTACTGAATATGTGAAGCAGCGCCTATCCAACATAGAAGACTTTACCAAGTACCATTCGATAACACTGTTTTTTGTAGATTATTGTGCATTAAGAAATAGGCTCAGAATTCGTTCCAGAGGAGATAGAAGCGCTGATGAATTCTGGAAAAATCACGCGTTTTTAAATTCTACTCACCATAACTTCTTTCGGTTTTAGTATATTTTGAATCCGAAAGCAGTGCTGTGTTCAGCTCATCAAGGCAAATCTTCTGATATACAGCATTTTCTTGATATTCCGTCAGTATTCTTGAATCTTTCTGCGGACGTCTCTTCGCGAAGGTGTAAAGCAGCGAGCATTGTCCCTAGTATCCAGCAAGGATCTTTCGATAGTACTTTTTCTGTAGATTATGATGTGCTAGATAGTAGCCCCAGACTTCTTTACAAAGGAAATAGAACGGCCGGTGAATTGTGAAAAAAATCTGTTGTCCCAAATTCTACTCGCCATAGCCCCAAGCACTGACAGTGGAATTTCGACGAAATATGCGCTTTACATTTTGGGCGAAATTCATGAGGAACGTGTCTTCGTAGGCTCGTAACTCGGCGAATTTTACAGACTGGAATCTGAGTCATGCACCATGCGATAGCACATTTCCTAGTAAATTTGACCTATAAAAGCAAGCAGGCAAGTTTTCTGACAGATACGCGAGAAGTGCGGCCAAAATTACACCCTTTCGTGATGCAGTTACAGTCACCTCTACGTATCTCTCCAAAAAGACACTGTAATCCTCGAAGACCACGATTTTCGTAAAGAGCGTGTTCGAAAACCTCTATAAGCGAAGTTTCCTTACAATTCACAAGCATCAACATTTTGACGAAAATCCATCGGCGAACAGAGCGTAAAACGAGAATGAAAATAAAATAACCCGATATCGGAAAACCTGCTCGTAGAGGTTATTCGATCTGCTGATTTCGAAACTCACATCTGCTTAGCAAGATAGCTTCGTATCCTGGGGCTATGGCGAGTAGAATTTGGGACAACAGATTTTTTTTCACAATTCACCAGCCGTTCTATTTCCTTTGTAAAGAAATCTGGGGATACTATCTAGCACATCATAATCTACAGAAAAAGTACTATCGAAAGATTCTTGCTGGATACTAGGGAGAATGCTCGCTGCTTTACACCTTCGCGAAGAGCCGTCCGCAGAAAGATTCAAGAATACTGACGGAATATCAAAAACATGCTGTACATCAGAAGATTTGCCTTGATGAGCTGAACACAGCACTGCTTTCGGATTCAAAATATACTAAAACCGAAAGAAGTTATGGTGAGTAGAATTTAAGAACGCGTGATTTTTCCAGAATTCACCAACGCTTCTATCTCCTCTGGAACGAAGTCTGAGCCTATTTCTTAACGCACAATAATGTACAAAAAACAGTGTTATCGAATGGTACTTGGTAAAGTCTTCTATGTTGGATAGGCGCTGCTTCACATATTCAGTAAAGTCTTCTATGTTGGATAGGCGCTGCTTCACATATTCGCGAAAGGACCTTCGCAGAAGAATTCGAAAAAACTGTAAACGGAATATAGAAGACATCGTACCCCCACTTCCAATATATCAGAAGATTCTCCGCGCCGAACTGAATCGAATGGTGGCTTTAGATTCAGAATTCGTCCACTCTGGAGCGAGATATGGCCACGCGACGGTGATGTCCATACATGTAGCGACATGAGCATCACTCATGCGACATGTCGCTACATGTATGGACATGTAGCGACATATATGTAGATTCGCGTCTATTTTTCAAAAAATGTGAGCGGTATTGTATGTTTTCTGTTCTACGGTGCTGTTGACTCAGGCGTTCGCCCCTTATTGATAGTTGAAGTTGTAGCGCGCGCAGGTAATTTAGCTGGGTGGTAATAATGGCTGTTGTCCGCACGGTGATTTCAGCGGTTCTATGCTGATTTAACAGTTTGCTCGTACATAATTGCTGATGAAGATTCCTCAGCTATGTCTGAGTGTAAGAAACTATTAGGTTGGTGCAAAAGTAATGCGCGTTTCGCAGTTTTCACTTTAAAGTGCTATAAATCTCTAAAAAATCCACATTCTTCAGTGCGGTAAAGACAATCAGAGGCATCAAATAATTTTCAATACAGCGCACATCCAACCATGCTCATATCTCCAATGGGCACAAAAATATGGATTGATAAGCAAAAAGGTTTTTTTCTGAAACCCCGCTTTTAACTGATCCTAACTTCCTTCAAAATTTGTAAATGTGAATGATAAGTAGTCTGTCTTGTAGCCGCAAGCCAGTAGTACAAAAAAGTTGGAAGGGGCTCAGTGAAAGAAGATTTGCGAAAAGAAAAAAAAGTAATATTCAAAAGTGTCCGCTTTTTTCGACATTTTTTCGTAGGCCTCAAAATCCCAAAATATGAGATTTTTGATTTTCTGTCTTCTAAACAGCCTACACATTTCTGCAAATTCTGTCAACAGGAGGCCCATCCTTACGCTTACAGAAATGAGCAAAACTTTGGCGATTGATTTTTACAAAGGAAATCTATGGGCCACAGAATGGCCAAAACCACTACTCCAGTTGAAGCGCCGAAATCCCAGTCTACGTTTATCTAAGAAAATAATAAAGTATGCGCAAAGTATACATGTCTTTTTACATACAATCGTAGAATTTCTAACAAGATTGCCATTATTCGCGCTTGAATTCTAGCCAAAATAGTAAGTGCAATGAAATTCTGGTTTCGAGTGCCGTTGTATGAGATTCTATTAATTTTTAAACGAGGTTAAAAGCTCTTTCTACCATCATTAGATAGAGCATGAAAGGAGCTTATTGAATTTATATAAGTTTTTCTCAAAGGAGAAGGTTTGATGGAGAAACGTTGTCTTGAAACAAGGGCTAAAAAACGCGCATACTTTTGCACCAACCTAATACTATTCAACGATCGATCGCATTTCTCCTTCTATGTAAGGAACATCTGGCGACTCAAACTTGGTGTATCACCTTCGAGCGCGCAGTTTCGCCACATGTTCGACTAGTAACGCCTTATACGGCCGTTAGTCTGCATATTAGAACCTACTAAGATGGTCCTCTTTTCTGTTAACTCGTGTACCGCTTTCGACATTCTTCTGCTTTTATATTTTTTTCCAGTAGTGCAAGCAACGTATGTAGTGTCGTATATCTTATTGTTGACTCGTACTCCTCCAGTGATCACGGCCCTAAGGAAAAATTTTCTTTTCTCATCCTTTCTCATCCTGAAGTACTAGTGAATGAAAACGGCCTTGCGCAATTACTACTCATTCATGACTAAGGCCTGGACAGAGCTCACGCGATTTGATCGTCGTTCAATCGCTACAGACAAGTGTTACGAGTTCATTGCATGCCGATCTTCTTGTATTTTGGTTGTGATAGTTAGTCACGACTAGTCGTGTTGGAGAACTATCACAACCGAAATGCAAGAAGATCGGTTTGAAATGAACTCGTAACATTTGTCTGTAGCGAATGAATCGCGACGAAGTCTTTTAGCCGGAATTTCTGAACTTTTTTTTGAGATTCTCTGTGACACTATAGTAAAGGTTTACTCCGTTGGTTTCAACAAGTATTTCTATAGAAGAGAAGAAGACTGAGCTGCGTGATTTTTTTCCACGAAGTATATGTTGTAGCTCAGGAAAAAGAACCTTGCTCTTTCAAATACCTTTTTTTCTGTACATCTCTGTATGATACTATTGCCATTCAGACTATTTGGATTGATGCCAGCATTGCAGTACACTCCTCCTAAGTCATTATGTAAACTATTGTAGAACTTGCACAAATAAGAGCTTCAGCGCCCTCAGGCATTCAAACATTGCTATCAATCATCCAAAAACCTCTCAACACGCTGCGTCCTTGGTTACACAGACAAAAAGTGGAAGAAAGGTTTTTGAAAAAAAAAACGATAAACCTCCCAATTAGCCTTAGTCTGCTTAGCTGTGAAGCACTTACATAGCCTTCAACGACAAGTGTGGCGCTGCAGATTATTCCGAAGCCAATAAATCTAGAAACAACACATAAAATTTTTTAATAACAGTTGATTGAAACACGTTAGCACATTCTAATGAAAGCTTGCTTGGAATCGCATTCTCTGGTTCTTTTTACCACGAGCTCATGAATACCCTATTTTCAGGTGTATAAGCCGCACCCTTTTCGCTCTAAAGGCGAACACGCCAAAAGACTGACTGTCAGCATGGAGCGCGTTAAGTGAGAGCAATATGCGATAAGGTGACCGCTTCGCGAGACATAGGCGCGGCGACACGCATGGGTCTGCTCGCGTTTAGAGCAAAAAAGGTGCGGCTTATACACTTGAAAATAGGGTAATATTCTCCAGCTTCAATAGTCGATATCTTTCCTCACAGCTGGCTAAAAAAGTGATCCTAACGAACTCGGAGATGGAATTTTGGCTAAGGGGGGAGAGACCAGCACAGATTTATCGATAATAGCGAAAAGCGAAGCAATACAATCAAGACATGCTTATGTAGGGAACACTCTCTCAATAATGCGAACTATCTCGTCAAAGCTGTCTTACAGCGAATAGTTAAACACTTTGACAATTGACGCATCTTGTTATGAAGCTCTTTTAGAACAGCGCAACACATCATCAAAAGAATCCCACTGAATACATTAAAAGCATTAAGCGATATGGAAGCAGATAGGCGACAAGAGTTTAGCATAACCATTTTATACCGTTACAAACAGGGGTTGTAACCAAAATCATTTTTCTATTATGCTAAAAAGTTAAAAAGATGCCTAACTATAAGCATTACAGGTCTTATCAACAAGGATTGTCATAGTAGGAGCCCTGATACACTAAAAATTATATCATGTGAGATACATTTGATAATTCTAACATTTAACTCAAGAATCCTGTCCTGTCCTGTTCAAACATTTCTGTTAAAGCCTATCAAGGCGTGATGACGGAGAAAGCGTAGAGTTGCATAATTGCTCAAAATTTGGGAAGAAAAATCTGGCTAGATAATCAAGATTTAAGTTTTTTTCTTCAGTTCCGGGCGTAAATGGGATTTTGATGGTTTAAGGAAACAATTTCGTATGAAACAAGCATTTTTTGAACATATTTGGAATACGATTTTTCACATCCTATCTTTTTGATCTGATAGTTTGACGTGAATGTATTTTTAGGCTCCGCCATGTCCACGAGGATCTCTCCGTACGATATCTTGGTGGCTTGGATGACCGGGCTGTGCTCGGTGAGCCAGCTGATCAACGGGCTTTTGAGGAAACGCTAACAAAGGAGAGCGGGACCTTCACCGTTGATGACGCTGTAGAAGCACTTGGATTTGGGCGATTTCAACTAAAGCTGAGTCTTCTGGTTGGTATCGCTTGGGTGAGTAGATAAATCTCAATCTTCTTTGGTTTTTTTTGCGGCACCACGTCAGTGAAAAGTGTTTTTTTTTTGACAAATCAAAAGAATTTTGGAGAATAGCTTAAAAAATTATCAGATTCGTTTCTCGTGGGGATATAAGCCTGCAAATGATTCTCACAAACTTACTAAAAAAGCAAAATGTGACTTTTTATGCAGGAGAAAAAATTAACTTCGCTTTCCTTCCTCCCTCCCCCCTTCCTCCCGAACTAGATCTCGAATTACCACTGGTGTATGCTTAATCTGAGATCGTGTATATCAAGGTTTATCAAATTTGGTATTTATCATTTTTCTTCAAATTTCCCGTTTCTCTGCACTTTTTTATTGCCGCTGTCAGATCGACTTGTGGTTCTGGGGTTGGTTCGATTCAAATTCATATTCAAAAATCTTGCACTTCAGCAGAATTCTTTGAGATACTGTATATCAAGGTTTGAATTTGAGCATTAAAAAAGCAATTTTCGGATGATTATTAGTTTGGGAATTTGTGACTTAACCACTTTAGAGTTTGTGCATTAAGAGGGACTTTTTGGATGGAATGTTAGCTCAAGAGTATATCAAAATTATTCTTCAGATGGCCGATGCTATGGAGATGATGCTACTCTCATTACTTCCACCAGCACTTGCTTGTGAATGGAATGTGACCCCTTTTCAACAGGCGCTGGTAACCACTTGTGTTTTTAGCGGAATGGTGCTCAGTAGCACGTTTTGGGGCAAAATATGCGACAGATTTGGTCGACGGGTGGTAAATCTGAGATTTTGGAACATATCTAGAATTCTGATGTTGTTTATAGGGTTTGGTGGCCTCTACATTAGTGGCTTCGTTGACTGGAGCTTTAAGTGCATTTTCACCACATTTCTATGTGTTTCTGGTTTTCCGAGGTCTTACTGGATTTGGCATTGGTGGCGTGCCCCAGTCGTGAGTCCGCTTCTTTTCCTCAACTGATCATTTAGGCTGCGTCTAGAGTTGCCAGTGTCAGCGTCGTGCCAGCACCGTTCCAGCGCACTAGCGCCAGGCAGGAACTATTCGATCGATTTTTCGACACGCGAATTGATTTCCACATAAGTTCCGGCACGACGCTAGCACATCGCTGGATCGACGCTTGCACGACTCTGGAACAGCGTTGGCACAGCGTCTTCTCAGGGGCATATGCAGCTTTATATATGCTGATGTGTTTGACATTTTACATTTTAGGGTCATTTTTATATTTTAGTGTCACTCTTTATGCCGAATTCCTTCCGAATCAACAAAGAGCCAAATGCGTGGTCTTGATGGAATCTTTCTGGGCCATTGGATCAGCTTTCGAAGCCCTGCTAGCCTACTTGGTGATGGCTTCATGGGGATGGAGGGCGCTTGTGGTCCTATCATCGCTGCCTTTGGGCATGTTTGGACTTCTTTCATTTGTAAGTGTTGTTTTAATTGAAATTATAGAATCTGGAAACGATTCTCATGGTTTAGTGGCTTCCTGAGTCAGCACGTTTCGAAATGGCCTGCGGTCGAACAGAAAAAGCACTGACAACGTTACAAAGGGCGGCGAAAGAGAATCGAGCTAAACTACCGGATGGAAGACTTGTTGCACCCATTTCTCAATCTGTAAGCTTAGGTATCCAAATCTATGAATACAGGAAAAAATTTGACATCACCTTTTGGCAATTGGCTCTTTTGCACTACAGTATACCAAAGATAATACGTAACAAAGCGTCGACTGTGCTGAATACCACCGTTCTGCTAAAGCTGGCAAAAGCGAATGTTTTTTTTTCTTGGCATACGAAAACTAGGGCATTGCGGCCTTGCGTAAGATTACGGTAGCGCACCCTTACAAGGGAAGGATACCAGCATTAGTTGGCAATTGAAGATGAGATGTATATCACTAGATGCAACTTTGAACGCTGATTCCAAATCTGCTTTTCTTTTTTGCGGAATAAGTTTGAGAAAGAAGTTATGAGCGTTTGAATGTCCAGATTTGCCAATCAATGAGTGGCTTAAAATCAGCGAAAAGTTCTGAAACAACACCTATGCGATTTCCACCGGCTTTGTTCCTTCCTTGTAAACAATATACTCGATACAAAAATGATTTTCCACTTTCCGGTGCTTTTATACAGCTTTTCGCCAATTTTAGGCCACATAAACCTTGACAAATTTAGACACTTAAACGCCCACAACTTCTTTCGGAAACTTATTCCGCAAAAAAGGAAAGCAGATTTGGAATCAGCGTTTAAAGGCGCGTCTACTAGTATACATCTCATCTTCAATTGCCAACTAATGTTGGTATCCTTCCCTTGTTAGGTCACGGTAACGGACCAAAATCACATATTTCAGTATTTTAACTAAACTACGGGATTGTTTTTCAAAAACAGTCCCGTAGTTCAGCGAAAAATCCATGCGCCCAGATTTGCCTGGACACTGCCTTTAACGCACTGAAAACAGTTAGTTGAAGCACTCGAAGAGCAAGAGAGCTTGTTTCGTGAAACGGCCCTTTGGCACCACTGTACACCACATCAAAATACAATATGCTCACCAAAGAGTCGAGACTGTCGAGCTCCATGCGCACTTCGAGAACTGAGCAAATTTTCGCTTTCTTTGATTATATAAAAACTTGCGCGTGAATTCGTTCTTGTCTATGGACTACGGTACATTAGCATACCATTTGGATTACGATAGTACACAAAACAGCATATTCTCAATTTCGCTAAGCAACGTAAAAATTAATCAAATTCCTTTCGTTATCACCTTACCACTTACGAATACAGTCCAAGATGCAAGAATTCGAACGGTGCTTATGCTGCAAAACGGCACTTTTGCATTACAGTAAGCGGTAAGCTTCACACTAAGATACAATGTAAGCCCTAAGCGCCTAGACTGCTGAGTTCGCATAATGTCAGAAACTCAAATCTTAGCTTTGTTCGGTGATATATACAGAGTACGATAAATTTGTGTAGGAATTACGGTAGCATGCACTTCGGCTACGATACTGCAAAAAATTAACTCATTCTTTTGTTCAGACTGAACAACGTGGAGATATCTCAAATCTCCTCTCACGTGATTACCGTACCACCACGCTGCTTCTGTGGCTTATCTGGGCAGTAGATGAATTTTCCTACAATGGCATGGTGCTGTTCACTACTGTACTCTTCCAATCCCACGACGAATGCCATGGTGGTCTCTTCTCAAATGGGACGCACTTGGAAACTTGCCGGCCATTGACTCGAAAAGATTACTTTGATCTACTTTCCACAACTATGGCTGAGTTTCCAGGTAGATCAAGAGCTCAGCTCAACTGAAAACAGTACGATACTCCATTTCAGGTCTGATTATTACTGTACTTATCATTGAGTATTTGGGTAGGAAAAAAGCGATGGCATTAGAATTTGCCGTCTTTTCCTTATTCACTTATGCGCTGTATTTTTGCTTGGACAGGTGAGAAGAGATATCACTTGTATTTTGGAAGCACTAGTTCAATATTTTAGGTTTACTGTAACGGCACTAATATTTGTCGCTCGAGCTTTCATATCAGGCGCTTTCCAATGCGCTTATGTGTACACGCCAGAGGTAGGTACTAAGTTGTAACACAACTAGTGCACGTTTTCCGCGCTTTTTAGAGGTGTTGCCATTTGAAGGGGATGACTCTATATTACCTGAAAGCTCTTTTCTTCTAATAGTGCATGCTTTTGTTTCAATAAAACTAAATTTATCCCTGAAATCCTGCTTCTCAACTAGAGAGCAGCTTCCGAAACTTTCTTTTCACCCTTTTTCTCTCCCTGGATCTTCGTCTCATTCGAATCATCCTAGTTTTCCAGGTCTATCCAACAACTTTGCGAGCAGTCGGTCTTGGAGCCTCATTAGCTATGGGACGAATCGGCGCCATCGTGACACCTTTTGTAGCACAGGTAAGGCATGATATTTTGTTGTATTTAAAATTTTAGGATAAATTTTCACATGAGTACATCAACTCGTAGCACTCCCATGAGACTCACATGTCCTCTGCTACCGTTGCCCTACCGTATCTCACCAAAAAGTAATGTCGCGCAACGAAGAGTGAAAGAAGTAGTGTACCAAATACCTAATCGCAGCTTTTGAATCCAAAAAAGTGAAATTCAATGGCCAACGATCCCATTTTCCAATTAGAACATAACAATCTCCAATGACAGAACATTTCTCGCCACATGTGTCAGTCTGATGATGAATATTTTTTATTATCTTAATAACCATATTTTAGATGGCATCAGGAACATCGCTGTCGCTTCCTATTGGAATCTATGGTACTACATCGCTGTTGGGCTTGATTGCATCCTTAGCGCTTCCCATAGAAACGGGAGGAAGAAAGATGCAGGTAAAATTGTTGGGAGTATTATGAAGCACAAACATGCACAAATATATTTCCATTTACAGGATACGCAATGAAACCTCCACATGTTCGCTGTTTTCTCCGAAAGAGACATCTTTGCCACATCAAGACTATGATGGTCGCCGTTGCATATTTCCATGCGTGGCTGTGTAATTTTAGTTCATTCTGATCCATCTTAACCTTTTCATACTCTCAGAAGTTATCTATAATTAAGATTATTCACATACGTGTCTTCTGTTTGTTCGATCTCATCGCTTACAAAGATTCGATTCTGTGCTTTACGGTCGAAAATAAAAATTTGTTGATGACGGAAATGAATCTGCATCAAACTTGGATGGGGTGGAAAAAATAGGTCCACACGAAAAAAAAATACTCAGTACACGCAGCTGTACTGCGTAATGCCATGTGTCAACATTTGCACTCCTACAGCATGATCACGATAAAAATAAACCAATATTTTTTTTGCAACGAGCACGTGGAATCAACCATAAGCGACTTGATAGATATATGCGAGTGAATTGACAATACAACGCATTTCGTATCCGTGCACTATACCACAACAGCTAATGTACAGTCTAGTTTTGTACCCTAATGTGTGCCATTGCACACACCCTCCACATTGCACGTAACCATCTTGGATGAGTTGATCATTTTGCATAAAAGTCCAAAAAATACCACTAGCTTCCAGTGGCGTACCCAGGATTTCGGCTCGGGGGGGGGGGGGGGCGACAAAAATTTTTTTCTAAGGAAGGTGCGTGGCGTTAGCCACGCACTCGGAATAAATTTTGGGGGTGCTTCCCAAAATTTTTTCGGGTCCCCGACCCCTAAAATCTGGAAAAAGGGGGCGTGGCGTCAGCCACGCCCCCGAAAAAATTTTTTTTACAGGGCTAATTTGAATTTTTAAAAATTTTTAAAAATTATTTTAATTATTTACAAAAATAAACAAGTCACCTACACATTTTTATAACCCATAGAAGTAACTTTCAAAAATTTCGCGACCCATTCTCGGGGGGGGGGGGGGGCGCGCCCCCCCCCCCCCGCCCCCCCCCCCTCGGTACGCCACTGCTAGCTTCCACTGATACGCAAAATGAACGGAACCTACCTAGAAAGACGCTAAAGAAGCAACGATCAAGCAATTAGCCCTTATGGCTAACGACATCCAGGATAGCACGCCTAGTATGGATGATGGTGCATTCGTACAAATTGATTAAGGTAGAAAACGACTTACCTGTGATCAGCGCACTTACAATTAGTAACGCTCGAGCAGAAATATAGAGAGACTTGTTGAGACTGGCAATTTACCATACAACTACGGTGCTCAAAACCTCCACTGAGGAATGATTAATTCGTCATGGTCAGCGCATGTAGTAGCCCGTCTAAGCAAATTTTCGAACATATACATGCAATTTGATAGGCATGTGTGTCGAACACGTTGCAACACAGGGCTTCTTTGGGCAACTTGCTTGGAGCATAATCCTCGAAAGTTCACATACTTTTTAGTTTGAAAATAGACTTTTCCTGTTCAATCTATTTTTTAGTGAAAAGATCAAATACATTGTGTGCCATCATTTTGAAACCATAAAAAGTAATAAACGAAATAGTATTATAGCTTTTTTTCCAAACATCCAGTTGTGTTCACCGTTTCACTGCTTTGTTTCAATAAGCCCATCTATTTTCTCTTTCTTGTCACAACAGTTTCCTTTTCTGCTCACGATGCTTGCTAGATGGTTGTTCAATTACTAATCCATACTGCTCATTTTGACTGGATCTCGTCAATTCTTTATTTTTGATCGAAACTCGTTACTATTTTTCACAATTTTTCGCAAGCATTCTTCGTATTCGCATGAGGATTCGAAGCTTTGAAAGTAAACAAGTAAAGTTGACCATAATAAGGAACTGTAAAACTACTCCTTCCCAGAAATTTTTGATGTGAGACATAGAGACAAACACAGACAAACAGACGTAGTGCCCGATCTGACGATGGCGATCACCCAGATAAGCTGAAGCGTACGAGGCTGGTGCGCGTTGGCAATTACCAACCTTGGAGCGCGCATGCGCAGAAAACGAGGCACACAAGAGGAAAAATGAAAAGAAATGAATGCATGCGAAGAATTTAAGGAAGAAAAGAAAGTACATAAGAAGAAGCCGATGTTCGCACCAATACAATCGTATTTATAGTGGCGAACGATGATTACGGTCATACATACAAGAATGATGACAAGACATGTATAGTGGTCAAAGATTAACAGTAGCTTACCTAGTGAAAGCGATGAGAAGAGTTTCAAATATAGGAGAATACGTTCTGGATTACAAGAAAAGCAGTGTTTGAAGAACAAGGCGATCAGATAATTATTGCGCCACGCTCTCATGCGTAAAATTTTACCTGCGCGACGTTGCGCGCCAGTCTCGCATGCGCTCAGTTTTTACTTGATTGGGATCGGCCATACTATTCCAGATGATTCCTGCGATTTCTGCGATTCCTATGATTCACGCACAGTTCTATAATTCGCGCACAGTTTAGGCGCCGCTTAAACGAGCGCGTTCTGCGTTTGTCATTTGGTGTCGCGTAAGGCAAAATCGAATGATTCAGTATTTTGCTGTGAACGTCCTTTTTTCTATGTAAGCATATTCACACCTCGTTATCAATATGAAGATGTTTTGTTAACGAACGATACACCTGTTTCAGATCTTGCGTTTCACCGAAAACAAGTGCTGCTTTCACTACATTTATAACTCTAGGTCGTGATTTGCATAGCAACTTTAAGTCGTGATGCTTGCTCTCTCTACATTTACAATCTACTCTCTTTACAATTCTGCAACATACGAGGTAATTAAAGGATGACTACGATACACTACAAAGTTACGAACGCGATGCATGCACATGTCACTGCAGTTCGCCTCCTCCTCCGACATCAAGGTTTTCTCCGAAATAAAGCTCAAATACACTGGGAGCAAATTATCTACCCAAATTTCGTAACAGCTGAAAAGGAGTCTGCTAAAACCCTAGAAGATATGGCGCAGACAAAAAGACGTGGGTTCTCTGATGAAAAAGATCCTAGGTTAGTCAAAGCTGTGATTGTATTCCTCCCATTTATGGCCGAAGAACTAACATTGTTGAAGCAAGGCGAGGTGTAATGTTAGCAAAAGCGAAAAAAAATTGTTTCCTCACATGATACACACAAAAAAAGTAGCAAAATCTTTATTCACATTTTCGTCATCGCAAACTCTTTTGACTATTCTGAACAAAAGTGAATAATGCCGCTGTGGGAATATCTACATCAGCACATGGTTATCTTCATTCAATCAATCCAAAAATCACTGTTGAAGAAACCGGAACTTGATTATCAAGCAAAAGGTCTACTGTGGCAAAGAACCACCGCGAGTTATGGCGACTTGCCCTCAATACTTTGGGCGTCAAATAGTTGACAGCAAAAATGTTCACTGCTAAAGGAACTCGCGCTGATAAATGATAAGATAGTAGATTGCAGTACAACCTTACATTGTCCATAGAGAATCATTTTGGATGTGTCCTATGCTAAAATGCTTGTTATGCGACCACAGATTTCTCCGTCCGTAAGCATAAACCCACTCCGTCTTTCTAATACGAACCAAAAAAATACTACACGGCTTGCATATGAGTAACAAATAGGAAATATATCCAAGAAACGTCACAAGAATAGAAAAGCAAGTAACATACCAGCACACTACTTGAAGTGATCCAGCCAGCTATATGTCTGAAGCATGTGATAATAATGAGGCAATTCCCTAAATATTACATCTTTCATTTTGAGTACTAGCCACACTACAGCAGGTGTAAGAACAGATACTTTCCATAACAATTCGGTCATCTTCAACTTGAAAATGAAGTGACCTAATATTTCTAGTGTTCTCGGTGGATCTAGAAAATAGCATCGTTGGATCTCAGTAAGTCCGCCAAGCATGAGCAAATGAAAGTTTAGTGACGGGAGAAAGATAATTGCTTAGAACTTGATTTCAATCATGTACTCTCAAAAACACAAAGAACTTGCGCAATTAATATAAGACTAGCTTACCTGGGCATTGAGCAAGCATCGCTTCCAATTATGCTCTTGCACGGTTGTCCTTCGCTACTCGGCTGAAAATAGAAGAGCTAACTGGGATACCGCCTCCATATTTATACAGATAAAAGTAGATAAAAGCATGAGAAGCGTTTTCTACACACGATGCTTATGAAAGATAGCGGAATCGGGAAAGTTATGAAAAGAGTTCCGTCATAGCAACACAACGCTGCATTATTTCGCTATGAGAACAAGATGCATTCCCACAGAGTTGCTTGAAACGTAGAAAACAAAAAAAAAACACAGCCTTCACAAAACTTAGACAGCATACCTGGTGCTGAGCATTCAACAACATTCATTGCATACACGCTGGCGACATAAGTTGTAAATGTAGTGAAAGCAACACTTGTTTTCGGTGAAACGCAAGATTTGAAACAGGTGTATCGTTCGTTAACACCTCTAAAACTTCTTCATATTGATAACGAGGTGTAAATATGCCTACAATCAGAAAAAAGACGTTCACAGCAAAATACTGAATCATTCGATTTTGCCTGAAGGGCCGGGCATACCTTCACGCGATTTCAATCGCGACGCGTGGCAATATTCCAACTTTCCATAAATCACTGTAAGCATATTCCAAATGTACAGAAGATAGGACATTTTATCAATCCATGTAAGTTATACAAACTATTCATGTGAATTTTGCTAGTGTTGCATCTGAAGACTTCTGGCGAATTGCCAAATCGCGTCGCAACTGAAATCGCGTGAAGTATGCCCGGCCCTTTACGCGGCACCAAATGACAAAAGCAGAACGCGCTCGTTTAAGCGGCGCCTAAACTGTGCGGGAATCATAGGAATCGCAGGAATCGCAGGAATCATCTGGAATAGTATGGCCGATCTCATTGACCGCCTTCGTCATGGACCGATAATAAACAACTTCAGCTGCTATATTAAGTTAGCTGCTAGGAATATAAGATTGTACAGTCAAGTCACAAGCCATTTCGTAGAACATATGTGTCAGTGCACCACAGTCCGACTTTTTCCATCCACCTTTGTCCACGAAGCGAGTAAATTGCGAAGTGGCGTTGCTGCATCCTTAAGCTTCTCTCGGAACTGAGAGACGAGGGGGTTGGCTGCTGCGGGCTCTCGTCGAAGTATATGCTCGATGATTGCGTTTCCTGGGAAT